CAATGAAAAGCCATCGAAGGGGGCAGCTGCTGATGAAAGTCTGCATTAGACTACTGGGGATGCTTGTTGTGAAGCGCACACCAAGTTTCCAACCCATGTAGAAGAACTGATAAATCGACTTTACATTTGTGTTGAAAATTCGAATTTTTTCCTTCATGCTGAAGGATACAGAAGATTTCCCAACCGATTTCAGAATGATGAAAGTCTACCTTGCCTTCTTGGTTCTGGCTTTGACATCTTCATTCAATCTGCCTGTGATTGAAGCGATGCTTCATAGCCAGATAGGTGAAGTAAGTAACTTCTGTTAAATTTCTCTCGTTGATGGTGAGTGGTACTGGTTTTTGGTGATGTTGCTGTTGCTGTTGGCTAGTTATCCTCATCACCTCCATCTTCTCTATGTTCACCAGGAGTCAGCCCTGTCTTTTCTGCCTGAATGCTTCTTCAACCAGTTTATCAGTTTTTGCCTGCTAGTCTCCCAGTTGGTGTGACATTAAACACAAATCATCCAATCACGAAATCCAGATCTTCTAGAGTCTTCTTATCGGTCAGTGGAGCGCATTCCCGTCTTCTCACTCGCCAGTCACAGTTTGACCGTACCAATAATCGTGGGTATTGAATTATTGTAGTCACTTGAAGAATTCATACTGTGTTAGACTGATTTCGAGATAACTTTGTTTTTCCACAAAATCAGGGGAAACCAAATGTTGTGAATGAAGAAAATCCTCTGGTTCGTAGGTAAAGTGCCTTTCAGACCTAATTGAGAAAAGTGTCGCGAGCAATTATGGTCAGTGTGATTGAACTGGAAGGGGTTCCGAATGGCGACTGTGGTGCACTGAGAATTATCATAGCTGAAAGAAGAATGTATAAAGTTTGCTTCTTACTGGAGGGCTAAATGACAGTGGTGAATACGAAGCCTGTTGACTTTGTGCTTTACTTCAGAAGTGTCATTGACGAGTAATACTGAATAATCTGAAATTGTAAATATAATACCTGTTCTCCTCCGTTCTATTCTCAACATATTATTATTATTATTCGGACCTAAATAGTTAACAAGCAACTTATGTTATCGACTGCAGCATTGGGTGACGCTGGTTAGAATCTCACTAGAGACATGTGCTCCTCCAGTGTTGCTCATACGCCCTACTGACTGGAGAGTGCCAACTAGCACGAAACCTAGGTCAGGATAGGCTCCCTGTTGACTGCCTCCCACCATCTAGTATTGAAAATTCACAGTGCACTGTGATAGCGAGCCACTTACTCTTCCTTGGTGGACACATTAGAGACTCGAGTGATAGAATTCAGTCTACACCAAATAAATGAAAACACACATTATACTAGTTACTGACTAGTGTTCAATCAAATCAATTATAACTTTCATAGAAAATTTTATGCACATGTATAACTTGCTTGACGTTTTTCGTCCTTTTTGAAGATAAAAATATGAAGAGGTGGACAAGTATATCTTTTAATTTTTCTACCCTTTTGGTTCGTGTAGCCATATGAGTCCATGGCACAAAGACTTTAGGCTGAAAGGAATTACCCCTTTACAATATCGTCTTAGGAGTTTTGCAATCTCAGCTGTTACTTATAACAAGTAGGACAAGTTGCGTCGGTGGCATGGTGGTTAGGACTCTCGCCGACCATGCACATGATCAGGGGTTCGATCCCCTGCTGACGCACACCTGATATCTGTGGTCGGCCTGCAAAATTTGGGCTACCGATATCCATGCTGAAAATTCCATACCTGTACCAAAAAATACGGTGTGGAATCAAGCCTAAACCTGGGTACGAAAGTATATCATTTCAGGGTGTTACACTTCATAGGTAGAAGAAAGAAAACACAAGAGAGAGAGAGAGAGTAATGACTACTTTTCGAATCAAGGAAATGAAAAGGAGTAAATACAACTCTTCCCCTCATAATCACTTTTAGCCACATCAGCATTGATCACTGGAATCCCGAGGACCTCAAACATGCAGTTTACACATATATATAATCCTGAAACAAATGAGCAAGGACTTCATGAATTGATAAAATGTTTCATTCTGACCAACCGCAATCTTAATTGAAGTAGATTACTTGTCGAGGAAGGCTGTAACTTAGTCTATGTAACACATACCTTTTTTCGTCAGCATCACTAAAGCTTCACAAAGTCACCAAGTGACTTCCTTTTACACCTGAAACTGATCTTTATCTCATTACCAGTGACTACACTTCTTGACCTAAAAGTGAAGATGGAATGAAGATATCTGTAATCAAAAGCTTTTAATCTTCACGTAACGTCTACCTCCGACAGACATATATCACAGCCTTAAAGTAGGACAGTACAGTAGACTACAGAATGCTCACATCCTCTGGTGGTTAGACGAATATAACACCCATATTGAAAGTGGAGCAATTAGATAGATACTAAGCAAGCCCTCTGTATCCATACTCAGAATACATCAGCAATCAGCAAATTAGGGCTGGTATAAATTTTCAACTGAGTGAAACAGTCAACATGTTGAACTATTCTTCTGCCTATTCCTTAACTGGGGTTTTGAGAACATCAGTCCTGTGATGTGATTATGCATGTGACGGAGGCAAACCACATCCAAAACATACTCCAACTTTTGTTCTATGCTTTCGAATGCACTGCCTTGATTAGAAATTGACTAGCTTTCCGCTCTGAAGCTCGGCGCTATACCAACGTCAGAAAATCCACAAGAACTATCCAAAGGAACCCATGACACTTAAAGAGTGATCTTTATATACATACCATGTTTTCCAAGCGTGTGTGGAACTTGAAAATGTGTCTTACAGATACAACAGAAGTCTAAAATCTGAGCTAACAAGGTTTCAAGCATTGAGGCCTGTTATATTACTTGGTTTAGAGTTCAGACACTGAATGTAGTTTGCAGAGTGGTCTTAAGTGGCTAGAAATAGTGTTTCACTGGCCAAGGTCACTTGAAGGGCGAAAAACTCTCCATCGTATATTATAAGGTGTCGCGGGAAAGCCGGACTGTGCTGAGAATACGTGGCAATCGAGAGTTGTTTTGGTGCTTATGGAAATATGTAAGTGTTTGCAAATTCACGGAATTCCTGAAAGGTAAAAACTATAAGAGTTGTGTAACCTCAGAAACTAATGGACAACTCCTTAATGTCAGTCACATACTACCTGTTCGTGGGTGGTGGTGCTGACCCTTCTTCCTACAACTGGATGGCAGCACAACTGACTTGCTGCTTGACTCAATAAATACTTTACTGTTGTTGCACCACTATATGCTCTTAGTGTGAATTCTTTCTCAATCCCCCTAACATACAGTACTGAGTTTACGTCGTAAAAGTGTCTGCTTTTACTCAAGCCATTGTTCTTTAGGATTGTTTTCTCAAACGGCTGTATCTCTTTGGCTCATTACGATATGCAAGTCTTACTACCGCGTCATGGTGGTAGTCAAAAACGTCAAAGAATCATAAATGTAATGAGTGATGTGAATGTGAGAAAAAGAACCATAAAGTTATTGGTAAATATTTTCATATTTCTGAAAAAAATAAAAGGGACTACATGTGTTTTTCTTTAAATTATTTTTAATCATGTTTCCAGCAGCCTTTCGCCCCTGACCCTTTCTAATTGTGAGCTTCTCTACACGACTTAGATAGGAATCAGACATTCCACTGATGAGTCACGTATTCTAGTCATGTCATTTTATTTCTTCTCAAATTGATACTACTTCAGCTAATAAAGGCTATGGGAAGAGCCTTAGTTCCACACGAATAATAAACACATGAATTAAATTTATTGCATATCTCATTAAATTGGTTACAAAAGGTGTCGAATTTTAACGCATTGTCAGTGACCTTCAATAAATAATCCTTTCCTCTATGGACTCTTCATCAAAACTGACACCAGTAAATTTCTGTTTTCTCCTTTTTTCTGTTTTGTCGGGGTGTTACAACTTTAACTAGTGCGTATATCTACTCAAAGTTCTACGCAAACTCATCAACCAGTCACATAAATGAAAGTTTTAGTCATTTAAAACTCATGAAATTATTGACCTGGTACTTCAATCAAAAGTTTATCAGTTCATGATACTGTACTTCATATATGCAAACACAAATGTGGGGAAAAAATGTAATCGGACTGCCATAAAAATGTATTGGAGAAAAGGTCAAGGAGAAACACTAGTTTACCTTTTAAATGGCATCCACATAAACCAACTTGATATTGTTTCAGACTTTAGCACGAATAAAATGAAATGGTGTTTACACCACATCGAATTTTTTGGCTTAACAATTGTTATAAGCAATCGTTTTATACAATAATATCGGTAAATAATTCCGTAGAATCACTGGCCTACAACTTTTTTAGTATACTGTCAATTACTACTGTTATATCTTTTTAGTACAACAACACAATGCGTCGGTGGCACAGTGGTTAAAACTCTCGCCGACCATGCACATGGTCCGAGGTTCGAGCCCACGCCGACGCACACCTGATATCTATGGTCGGCCTGTAGAGTACGTAACAATGTGATTGTACACTTTTTGGTGATTATGTACAATATCTCGAATTCATACAAATAACCAAAAAGTGTACAATCACATTGTTACGTACTCCACAGGCCTGCGAATTTTGGGCTACCGATATCCACGCTGAAAATTCCATACTTGTACCAAAAATACGGTGTGGAATCAAGCTGTTATCAAAAAAATAAAATATATTTCAAAAGTCTTCATGAAGGCCTTATCGAGAATCTAAAATTTTATGAGAACCCAACAGGAAAATTTCAAGTACGAACGGCAACTAACATACAAGTAGAATATAGAGGGCAAAAAGCGGAAGACTTATTACTTGTGTATCAGAAGCAAATCAAGTGAAGCATTTTTGAACAGCACAATCACTCCTCATTACTAAATGGACAAGTATTTAAATATATACATGGTCGAAGAAGAGTTTAGTCTACTCAGATATATAAGTGTGATGAAAACTGCTGTTAAATGCAATGGGCACAATAATACTTACCTGAGAGGGACTTATATCAAAGCACTCTGATATTTTTGAATAGAGCTGTCGAATAGTTGTAAACCCATGAATTATGCCTGTTGGACTTCCATGTGCTAACTGACAGAAAAATTGATAAGGTGGGGCTGAATTATAATTCCCAGCCTCGTAGTTGACTGGTCTTGAGTATCCACATACATTTCTTTCTAACTGTCTAGTACCCACGACATTCGGTTTACGGAAACAAAATCCCGGGTAGCCGCATTCAATGTTTCAATATTGGAAATTTGTAACGTAGAAAGGTTCAACAAACTACTTCCAAATATCAATTATTTTTGTGAAGAACTTGTATGAACGCGTTGACGACTCGACATATATTTATCAGAGATACGAATAGACCTATATCTCAAGTGAATTTCAATGCAAAAGTTCTTTACATGAGACTGATGTAACTCCATCGAACGTGGCAGGTGGAAGTCCTGCTTCACTATCAGGGGACATATGACTTATCCTACTAAAGTACTTCGATTAGTATCTGCAGCTATCCCTCTGTCGGAAAATTTCTTGGAAGAGTCAGAAAAGTACTGGAAATTAGATATTATGACACAAACAGAAAAATTGAGGTTTGTTGGCAGCGTGTAATGGAACAAAGTGGCTTCCAACAGGAAAGGAATCAGGAAGAAAAGATACAATAATACAAAAATAAATAAAATAGAAAATAAGATGGAGTATCAAGCTTTTAACTGTAATATCAGTATAGCCACTGACAAAATATGTGTGTAAGCCGCTTCGCCTTTGCATATTCTTCCAATTGGCTTCCAACTGGCTAAATCATAGCTATGCTGGTTGACGATTGGTCCCATAGACAAAGTTTCTACAAGAAAGAGTTCAGTGGTTAATATCTTAAATACGCACTTCCTCTTGGATTTCTGTAGGCAGTGGTGTAGTACACTTACGGTAATAAGTACTTATTTCGAAGTTTTGAGTTGTTATTTATTTTATAGGTATCTGATTCTGTGCATGTACTAACCTACCCTTGGCGATCGATGGTCAGACGTTTTCTTTGTCAGTTTAATGACGGTTATTGTCTCTATTTTTATGGACATCCTTTAGATATTGTCGTTCTCTTGTTAACGCTCTGTGGCAAATCTTGATAAAAGAACAGAACTGGAGCACCGCGGTAGCTTACGATTCAAGTGCACAATAAATTTATTAGCGAAAAGCATACAGCAATATGACACTATTTACTGATAACACTGGAAACACAATTTATTGCTCAAAATCATTTCAAAGCACTCATATAACTTTCCAACTCTGTTAAGATGATTTCATTGATTTGCTTCCTTTTGATTCCACTTGTAGAAATAAATTCTGTCAGTCACGTCTCATAAACCGTTAATACCCAGCTCTTGCTACGCTCGGGCTCACGCTGTTCCTTGAAGTTTCTCAGAAACGCTTAGTAATAACGGACGCAAAAACCAAAACACCAATTGGCGACTCGAGGATTCTTTATTGTAACACCAATATATAAACACTGTTACAACTAAGGTCTGTGAACAAATATTACAATAATAAATCACAATATTACTTCTGACGGTTTGCTACTGACTTTTTTCTGAACAGCGACCGATGAGACGATGACTGTCGTGTTGATGCCTCCAAGAAAATTGGGGAAGTTGGTCTTGAGCAAACAACCATGAATTGATCGTTCAATCTTCAACTACATTGACATTTTCCATGTATTAGGTATTGACGTTGAGTATGTCCTATTGTGCGCGACTGATGTAGATTCGACGAATGGAAATTCGGTAATCTTGTACGTACCTTACTTCGAGGAAATATTGCTCTGTCACATCCTATTATGAGGTTGTATGTAGATATTATAGAAAAGATTTGTAGCTTAGGTGGATGATTTTGATGTGGTTTTGTTCTCTGAGCTGGATGGTTAGTTTGCGAAGCTTCCATTGCCCTACTAGGAAACATCTTCAGCGCATACTTCAATTAAAATTGATGTGAGCTTTTAGATTTCTCCACGAGTTTATTAATCATCTCTCCTGGTGACCTTGGACGTGATTGGTTGTTTGTGTGTGTTTTCACACCTTCTAGGTTACTTGTATTGGAACCGGTTGTTTCTTTGACTTGAACTTTTACCCTTTGTGTGTGAGAGTTCCTTTCTTATCGGTTGATAAATTTTGTCTATCTCGATGTGTCTATTGATTGATGATTCACTGGAATACCAGACAGGCTTCTAAAAATTCTCTAGCATTCTTGGTGTTTCCTCTGTCTAATATTTTAACTGTGGTTGTCCCAGTCGAATTGATGTCCGTGGTTGTCTGTGTGTAGTGAAATGAGGGAGTGGATATAATGTCCTTTGACGGCTAACGCTTATGTTCGTGGATACGAAGACGAAGGGGACGTCCACTTTGGCCAATGTAGTGTTTTTCGCAGTTGTTACAAATTATTTTGTAGATGATGTTGGTTTTATCTTCTTTCGCTGTTGAGTCTTTTGGTTGACATAGAATTGAGTGAAGCGACTTTGTTGGTTTGTGTACGAGGTCAATTCCTAAAGGTTTGAAGAGTCTTGTAGTGATTTCTGAGATATCATTTATATATGGTAAGGCGATTTTCTTTGTGCTTTCCTTGGTGGCTTTTGCTTTGATAGGTTGGCTTGGGGGTATATGTCTTTTGATTGAATTCCTTGGATATCCATTCTTTTGTAAGACGTCCATGAGATACCTTTCTTCAATTTTCCTTAAGGTGGGAGTGCTTCAATGAATCCTTGCTCTCTTGAATAGTGTTTGTATGCAATTCCTTTTGTGTGTTATTGGATTGTTGCTGTTGTAATTCAAGATTTGGTCTGTGTGAGTTGATTTCCTACAAACTTGAGTTTCTAATTCTCCTGTAGTTGTTCGCCTGACTAAGACGTCCAAAAATGGTATTTTGTTCTCGGATTCCTCTTCTCTTGTGAATTTGATGTCGTTGAAGACGTTGTTTATTAAGTTGTGAGTTTTATCTAACTCGTTTCTTTTGATTATTACAAATGTGTCGTCGACGTAGCGTATCCAAATCTTGGGTTTGATCTTTGGTAGAATTATATTTTCGAGTCTGTGCATCACTGCTTCTGCAATCAAACCTGATATTGGCGATCCCATGGGTGTTCCTTTGACTTGTTCATATATTTGGCCGTTGAACTGGAAGTATGTTGTTAGGCGTAGATTTATGCATTCCATCCAGCTTGTGTGTTGCATTTTTGATTGTTGTGGCAGTTGTTCGTCGTTGCTAAGTAGTTGCTCCATGGTTTCTTTTGCTAGGTTTTGTCCGATGGATGTATATAATGCTGTCACGTCGAATGATACCATTATTTCTTGTTCATCTATTTGGATGCCTCTGATTTTCTCTAGGAATTGGATAGCAGAGTTGATGGAGTGATCGCAAGATTCCGTTAGGTGTTTTAGTTTTCTGTATAATTCTTTGGATAAATTATATGTTGGAGTTCCTGGGAGTGATACAATTGGTATGTATGTATGGTTGTATGTAAACGAACGCGTTATAATTGCCCAGTTTTCCCAAAACTGTTCATGTTTGCAATCTACTGTTTACCTTCAGCTTTTGGTGTTGCGGCTTGGTTCGTCATTTCCAACCTGTGTTTTTCAGGGATACCTTTGTACTTTAGCTTTACTTTAACCCATGCCAGTTGTTTTACCAGGCAGGTATCAAGTTTCATCCATATTAATAGTAACGGTGGTATTCACAGTAGTAACAGCGAGACTTCATAGGAAACTGAGGGCGGATGGGCAAAAATTGTGAAGAGGCCGGGGCAACGATAAATAAGATAGAGATGCATCAGGCATTAGACCAGTTAGACTAATAACGACAGTTGTAGGGAGTCTCTTTAGATTCGGAATTTATTTGTCATTGTCAGCATGTTTACGTAATACCACCTGACCGATGTCAGTGGCAGTTTACTGACGGCAAAGTGTCTGGAGGTTGAAAAAGGGCAAGTAAGGGGCGGCAAATTTTTGGTGAAAAGAAGCTGGAATGCTCCGACTTTTATACTTTTCATGAACGAGTCTTTACAGTTCTGAATTAGTTCATACGAGCTGGATTTATAACAGCTGGGTTCCCTTATCTGATTGTTACAATGCGTGATTTATAAAACCACACTATTCTTGCATTCAATTGTATGCCAGCTTTACAAAATATTGATATTCTTACCAAGCAACAATTGAGTGGCAGTGATGTGTCGTAAAAGATCTTCCTACGTGTTCACTATGACTCATCATGAACTCTAGACATATCGCTCGTGTAGTTTGTGATTCTTCCTTTACTTTCTTGTGGAATTATGTTCATTTGCACCATGATGCCAAATGAGGCAGTCTGAGATCACAGAGGCAACACGTCTCAGAAGGCCAGGTGTCGAAATAATGTGAATTATGAGCTTGTGTCTGCCCAAGTATGTATAAAGGGATATGGATGATTTAAGAGGAAACAACAGCCAATGCTCTATAGTCCCTTCAAGTAATCACCGGTCCACTATAGTCTTCTATATATTAGAGAACACCATTCAAAATGTTTAAGTGCGCAACAAGTTGAACTCAACTATTCAGAGATTCGGTATCATGTCACTCTTCACGGGATCGGTAAGTCGATCGGTATGACAACTGATGAGGCTTGATGGTGTATTGTCGAGATTCCCATTAATGATAGAGTTAAAACTACCAGATATTTGTGGGCTTATTAAGTACCGGTTAGTGGGTTTCCTTTTGGTTATGAACCTCAACCCTTCCTCGACTGTCTCAAAACATGCCAAATTTTACTTCTGATATCTATCAAATGCTTATCTACTTTTGAACAAAGTTCGTTGTAACCTGGTAGACATTATCCTAAGTTGATGTTTGGGCAACTCCTCCTGGAAGTGGTAAGTGTTCCTTGGCTTACACGGACATCCAATTCTTTGACTACGTGACGTCAGAAGTTAACTCTTTCATTTCGCGATCGCTAGCTATACTGTGAAACAAGCAGAGAAGGAAACAATCTTTCTTGAAATACTTCGTTACCACAGTATTATCTACCTGACAAATGGCAAATGATGCGCATGCAGTTGGAATGTAATGACACCGGTGTAGCAGCATCTGTCAGCAAAATCTCAGAAACAATTTGTAATAACCAACGCGAAAAACCAGAACACAGAATGGCGACTTGAGAATCGTTTATTCTTACGCCAATATATGACCAACAATGAGGTAATTACACACAAGGTCTAAGAATAAACGTTATAACAATAAATCACGATAGTACTTCTGATAGTTTTAT